CCTTCCGTCCGGAAGGTTTCATCAGTCAAGGAAACACACATCACAAAACTGATTCTTTCCCCAAACAGCTTACTCAAAAGTGGAACAAACCAGTTATGTTGGTGCTAAGATGGTGTCTTTGGTATGCCCCCTCCTCTCGTGCTGGCCCTCTTCCTCATCAACAGTCATGTCAAACTGGTTCAAAACCAAAAAAAGTCCATGCTCAATAATCCAGGTATACAATCCAACAATTTTCAGTCAGGTCATCTGGACAGTTTCTTTTTTTGCTGAAATGTTTCATCTTCCATCCGGAAGGATTCATCAGTCAAGGAAGCATGAGCATGGACTTTTTGGGGGGTTTGAACCAGTTTGACATGAATGTCGACGAGGAAGACGGCCGGCACGAGAGGAGGGTGCGTGCCAAAGACACCATCTTAGCACCAACATAACTGGTTTGTTCCACTTTGGAGTAAGCTGTTGGGGGAAGAATCAGTTTTGTGATGTGCGTTTCCTTGACTGATGAAGCCTTCCGAATGGAAGGTGAAACGTTTCAGCAAAAAAAGAAACTGTCCAGGTGACCTGACTGAAAATTGTTGGATAGTATACCTGGATTATTGAGCATGGACTTTTTTGCTTTTTTTTGGGGGGGGGGGGGGTAAGACAGGTAAGATTTTGGACCAAGAAGACAGATGGTTGGAGAGGGGGGTGAAGGAAGAAATTCATGTAAAAAGAGAGAAACCATCTTTAAAAAGAGGAGGAGGTCTCAGATTTCAACTTTCAGAAATGTATAATGCAGCTTTGGGACTGATACCCAGCCAGTTTTCACACCTGTTAGGAATGTCATTCATGTGACCAGAGTGGTCTATCTATGAATCATATTAACAAACCCCTACTGTGAGGTGTGATAAGTCAGCCTGCATATGTACAGTATTGTCTGTATTTTACCTCAGCTTTATAACTCGAACCACACACTCCCTGTTCTTTGAATTGAGAAAACTTCTCTGATGAGAAGTGAAAGTCTTCTGTTACAAATAAAGTCCAGTTGTTTTTGTCTTGAACTGTTTTGAATTTACCATATCCTAGATGACTGAGAATCTTCACCAACGTATGAAAATAATTAACTGTACGTCTTAGTTTTCAGTCATTCATCTGGTGCTATCAACACAGGGACATTTAATTAAACATATTTATTATAAAAGGAAAACCTGGATTATGTTTTTTTTTTCAGGTTTCTCTTGTAAATGAGTCCCCGTGGCTCAATGGGATTACCTTGTATAAATAAAGGTTGAATGAACGTGTTGTTCTTGGCAGTGTAGTCACACAGTCAAGCGTGATATGTGTCGCAAATATTTGTGCTGCAAAATAGCAATGTGGTTTCCTGAGTCTTGGTTTTTTTGGGTTGTTTTATAGTTTTTACTTATACACTTAAGTCTTAAAATTCTCCTGGGAGGCTTCATAGGAATGAGGAGTATGCAAACACAAGTGTCACCTTGTCTCCTCTATTCCTACTTCAGCCTTCTCAATAACTTTTTGAGTGGAATAATTTCCCATCATAACCACTGCACATAGATGTTCCGTGTGGCGAAATTGTTGATGAATGCAGACTAAACAGCATATAAACATGTTAATTGTAAAAAAAAAAAAAAAAAAAAAAGCTAAAAAACTGGTGCTTCACTGCACTCTGGGCTTGTTTTTTTCTAAAGTCTCTTTGTGAGTCGTGGGATGCAAATTATTTTTTTGGGGGCTTGTTTTGAATGTGAAGTTTCTTACTTGGGCTTGACATTCTTTCTGAGTAAAACTAGTTGATTATTTCCCGGCTCCACACAATAAAGCAAAAGACGAGTGGTAGTAGGTAGTTTGTCCCTTCCAAGCCACCGTTTCCTGTTTATCGTTCCCGCCCAAGTTGGCAAGGCGACGGGCGCACACATAGACACATACGTTTGTGGACACGCACTCCAAACACTCGTACTATGACCGACCACTTGGGGGCTTCACTCACGCAGCTGTCAAGATGTTTTGTTTTTAAAAAATAGGTAGAAAAAATGACGTGAAATAAATTTTTTATCAGAGCTTTTATTCAAAGTGTTTAGCATAATTTTGCTGTTGTTTATGTGTAACGCCATAATAAATGTATATTTATACTAGGAGTGCATCAATAAATCGGCCGGCCGATTTATCGGCCCCAATTTCCTTAATTTTGGGAAATCGGCTGATACTTGCATGAGAAACCGATTTTACCAATTTTTTTTTTGTTTGTTTGTTTTGTATTGTTTTAACAACAATTGTCTGAACTTCATTTATATTTCAGAGCACTACCTCATGGCCAGTTAAAACAAGTTTGTACTGTTTCTAGGATATTGTTTATGGGTATGTTTTTCAATAAAATAATATTAGAAAATTGAAGGTGCATTGTGACCTTATAACACCTGACAGTGTTGCTTATAAAACAAAATTGGTATCGGCAGGTCAGACTTTTTAGAAATCGGTGCTCGGCCAGAAAACTACAATCGGTGCATCCCTAGTTTAGACTGTTTCAAAACAGCCTCTGTTTTACACAATGTGGTGGGTTGCCAGTTGGGCTTGTTTTGGGCTTGTTTTCATAGAGCTGGTTGCTTGTTTCTATCGTGAGATCTGGCAACACTGTTTAGTAGTTGTATAAATGTGCAAAAACAAAATTTCATATCCAAATTAAAATGTACTGAGCAGCTCTTTCATTATGTAAATGGTACATGGACTGTACTTGTATAGCGCCTTTCTATTTTATTTCAAGATACTCAAAGTACTTTACACTACAATCTGTGCCCTTATTTACCCATTCATACAGCACTCTACTAGATCTCTACAAAGCTAATTAAACAAATCATTCTAAAGAGACTAATCGGTGCTTTAGATCACATTCAAACACTGATGGGACACACATCAGAGGCTATGAGGGGTTCAGTGTCTTGCCCAGGGACACTTCGACATGTGACTGCTGGTGGATTCGAACCCCCAACTCTCGCATTGGAGGACGACTGCTCTAACTGCTCAGCCACAGCCGCCCCAAAATGTCCTCAAAACCTTGTCGGACAGACTTCAGTTGTCCCAATGTCTCCTCACGCTGCTGCTGGCTAACTTCCTCAAACTGTTTCATGAACTCTCATCACCTCATCATCCACCCTCCTGCTTTTACCAGTAATGTACTGTATGTGATCGGTGTGGATGTAGGGGACATGTCTCTCTCTGGGTCTATCGTTGGGCTGGACGCTGTGCCTGAAATGTTTTATGAAGTGTTGCTCTCAGCATCCACAATGTAACTGCACTAATCTGACCCACTGAACATCAACAGGTTAGCTTTATTACCATACCAATTTCTTTATAGAGCACTTAAAACGGCAACAAGGCCAACCAAAGTGCTGTACAATGGAAACAAACGAACACAGCGGAGAGGAAAACAAAAAAGAAAAACTATAGATACAAATAGCAGCAGATAATAACTAAATGGCCAATACTGTAAAATACAAAACACCGAAACAAATCACATCGTGTCAAAGACAAGGGAATAAAAGTGGGTTTTCAAGCGAGACTTAAAACTTATTAAATTATATTTTTTGCTGTTGTTTTGATAAATAATATTGTCATTACCGGTACTTATGTGCTGTGGTGTGTGACTCACTGGATTCTACTAGTTGTACTTTCAGGTGATGGGTCCCAGTCCTCTGATACAAAGGACTGGGGACAGGTCCTTAGTGGGTCCACAAACATGTTCATGTCCACGTTGAAATCAGGTAGACTAAAACACACACAGTTCGCACACAGTCAGACACCATTGTCTCACAATATTCAGTCAGTGTGCAGCTTTCTACACACAAAGGTCACTAAAGACCTAAAAGACTACTGTAGTTTAGCCATAGTTTAAAAGTGTTTAAGGGAATTTTAACAAAATATCCATGTAGTTTTAAACAAATCCTCTTATAAACAATGAAACATGTACGACTGACTAAATGTGAAATAAATACTACAGGACTGCTATTGAAAGTAAAAATAACAGAGTTTCACCTACTGTTGGTGCCAGTAGCAGCCATCTTGAAATGCTGAAGTCGGATAGGGTCTTGTTGCTCTGACTTTCCGACTTGGAATTACAACTTTAGGGTGCATTCCTGTTGAAATTTCTGACTTGGAGGTCGAAAATTTTCGACTTCTGACTACAACTGGAATTCAGCGTTTGGCCGTATCAGCTCTGCCCCCTTTACCTCACTGCTCAGGTGCTCACGTGAGCCCAAAATGCACAAACAACATGTAAACAACCAAAACTCTCCGGTGCCCAGAGAAGGAGGAAAAAACAGTAGAGAGAAAACTTGACACAGACAGAGGTAGAGTACAGGAAAAGAAGGGAAAAAATTGTCCCTCTGTTGTAGAAATAACACAGTCCGCTCATCAATAAACAGTGTTTGCACCTTTTAACACCAGCTGATCTGCAGCAGCCTGAAAACTAGTTCTGTGTACAGACCAGTACAAGAGAGACTTGTACTGGTCTGTAGAGACTTGTGGTTTACCACATACATTAACATACAAAATGAAATGGTTTGTCCAGTTAAACTGGTAAACAAAAATATATTGAATTTGAAAGAATATCAACCAACATTTGCTGCGACAAACAAAATTATTTCTTTTTATTATTGTTTTCATCAGTCAGTATAGGTGGCATGGGTCTTTTGAGTAGGTGTATAAATCACTGCCTGTTGAGAAGGCAGCTATTTGTGATGGCACCTCTTCAGCAGAAAATGCCCAGTTTTTAATTGTAAACGCACACAAAAAACTAAATTGTCAACACATTCTTCTGAACATGTTTGGTAGTTTTTGTTTTTCATTACTGGACCAAATATTTTTATGAACAGATTTTTTTGTCTTCTGTCATTGCTTTAATTATAATAAATAACATGAAGTGTGCAAGGCACATAACCGTTGTTTCCCAACAGAGGCAGCATCTCAGCGAAGACTCCATGTGTTTTTGTGACCTTGTCTTTTTGTTTGGCTTGCAGAAGACCCTCTGGATATCTACTGGCTTGCTCAATGCCTGTTCCTCACCTCACAGTACCACAGAGCCTCACATGCCCTTCGCTCACGAAAGCTTGACAAAGTGAGTTGCATGTGAACGTAAATCAATGTGAGACACTTTGCTTGTAGCTGAGTGATGACATTAAAGTTTAAACATTAAAGGCAACATTAAAAATGATTTAAAACATGGGTAATTATTTTAAATCAAATAATCAAATCTAAAGGGAATTTGCGAAATATTTTATGTTAAGTCTCTTGTCCCTAACACTTTTTTTTTTCCACAGTTATATGGAGCTTGTCAGTATCTTGCTGCCAGGTGCCATGTAAGTTCCACCATTTCTAAAATCTCTCACAGCTGCAGGTCATCTCCTCAATAACCCTGTCAGAATTAATAGTTTTGATATTTTTATAGTACGCTGCCAAAGAGTTCCAGCAGGCCTTGGATATCCTGGATGTAGAGGAGCCAGCTAATAAGAAACTACTGAACAAAAGTGAAAAGGAGGACAATGGGACAGAGTCTGCAAAGGACTGGGGCATGTCCCCTTCCTCTGTAAGTTTAGACTGACAGAAATATGTTGATATTAAAATGATGGATGTGTTGGTAGCTGAGAACAGTCCCTAATAGGCTCTGACTATAAATCTAAACAAAATTCAGCTACTTCAGCTAATTTCAGCTGTTGTTTCAGCTGTTTTGTACTCCGTTCAACCTGATTGAGCTAACTTAAACATTGTTGTGCTTCTTTAAACTTATTTATGCTAATTTCAGCTTGTTTGGCTCCTTTCAGCTTATTTTTGCAAGTTTTAGCTTTTTCTTCTATTTCAGATAGCATTTAGCTGTTTGTTTTTGTTTTTTGTTGATCATTTCATCTTTATCAGCTAATTCCACATTTTTTGCAATCATTTAAACTTTTTTCAGCCTTATTCAGCCAAAACCTTCTCCCCTGTCTTCCTTCTAGTAATTTAAGCTTCTTTCTGCTTGTTTTAGCTACTATTCAGCTGTTTTGAGCAAATTTAAGCTTTTCTCAGATAATTTCAACTTTATTGTTCTAATTTATGCATACTTGAGCCTTAGTGGGCACAAGTAAGCTCCCTCCACTTTCTTTTGGAAATTAAAGCTTCTTTCTAGATTTCTTTAGCTACTATTCAGCTGTTTTATAGAAAAACTGAGATAATGCTGCCATTTTTAGAGCTATTCAGCTGAGATTTGGCGTGTTGGTAGCTGAGAACAGTCCTTGATAGGCTCTGACTATAAATCAAAAAATCCAAGATGGCTGCCTTAGCAAACAAAGGAAAAATACTATAAATCAGCCAATTTTAGTCATTGAGCTAAAATTAGGTGTGATGATAGCTGGCAATGTATCCCATCAAATGCTACATACAAATCACAATTCCAAGATGGCCGACAACACTACTTTTGAATGGATTTACCTCAACCAATGTTACACATACAGAGGTGAAATTTGGTGAGGTTATAGCCGAAAACATTCCCTATCACATACTGAGTCCAAATCAAAAATCCAACTTGGCTGCCCTAGCTAAAAAGGAAAAAATATGATAACTCTGGCATTTTTAGAGTTAATCAGCTGAAATTTGGTATAGAGGTAGCTGAGAGCAAACCCAAACACAGTACTGTCAGATCAACGGTTTATATCAGCAGCAGCCTGGCAGTCCATTACATTAAGAACAATTGTGCATTTTCTGCTTCCTTCTGATATTGGAAGCTTCTTTCTGCTGTTTTAAGCTACTTTTCAACTATATCATTCACATTCTTAAGCAAGAAGCATTCACACTTGCATTTTTGCAGGTAATGCAAATTCTCTAGTTTTCTTTTATTTACTCCTTTGTGTGTGGTAAATTTCAGATCAGTAGCTCCATCTGCCTTCTGCGGGGGAAGATCTATGATGCCATGGACAACAGGCCTCTGGCCACCTCCAGCTACAAAGAGGCCTTGAAACTAGACGTGTATTGCTTTGAAGCCTTTGACCTTTTAACATCTCACCACATGCTGACCGCACAAGAAGGTGAGGTTTGTCTGATGAGAGGATGTGAGCTTGTTTCTTTTTATTATTATTATTTTAAAAGTACGACATGTAACACTGGTTTATAAAGAACTATATTGGAATTTGTAATTTAAATGAACCCTGTTCTTTCTGCACTAGAAAAAGACTTCCTTGAATCACTTCCTTTTAGTCAGCAGTGCAGTGAGGAAGAGGAGGAGCTGTTGCACTTCGTTTTTGAAAATAAATTAAAAAAGGTATGGGACTTTTGTTTATTTATGCCAAACAACTCTTTTCTTGCTCACACATCTTGTACATGTACAGCAACATATTCATGCAAAATTTCTGGGACTCAGTGTTATAACAGAGTTCATTTTATTTATGAAGCTCCAAGTCACAACAGAAGCCATCTCATAATACAATCTTTTACATTTTTCCTCAAGACCCTTTCTTTGGTTTCATACCTGCTTTGATATAAACGTTTCGTCGGCAATGACAGTGATGTCTCATATTTTGTCCTTCTGCAGTATGACAAGCCCAGTGACTTGGTGGTGCCAGAGATGGTAAATGGTCTTCAGGACAACTTGGATGTAGTCGTGTCTCTTGCTGAGAGGCATTATTATAACTGTGATTTCAAGATCTGCTACAAACTCACGTCAATGTAGGTGTCAACAGCTTTCATCTTTGTTGTTTTGAATGTGGTGAAATTTTCATTTAATAATTTAGCAGCTGCTGCAGTGTAAACGTCGGTTAAGTACTGTAACCCCAGATTCTATGAGTATAGACGTAGCCCTTTAAGGCTGTCACTAGTGGGTTTATCCCTACGCGCGCAGTGCAGCACTGAAAACTTTAGTCCACGCCCACCTGCTGTGTGGGCCTCACCCCCGGTCCGTATAAATTACGGTGAGACCGGGTAATCGGCTCCCAAATAGCTTTTTTCTTCAGCCATTTAGGAACCAGTGAGGCCCAGAGCTTAAAGGGCTGCGCCTATACTCATAGAATCTGGGGTTACAGTACGTAACCAACGTTCTATTTCGTATAGGCTTTGCCCTTTAAGGCTGTTGCTAGTGGGTTAAAGGTGTAGCAGGATGTAGTCTATGCCTCACTGGGTCCATTCAGACACAACATGAAGCACCTGCTTGCACAAAAAAACATTTCATCACTCAGCCTTCTGTGTGCGTAATTACGCGCTGCGTAATTGTGTGCTCCATGCGCAGGAGCGCACCAGAGAAGATCTCTGCTGAGGAAAAAAGACTGAGATAGCAGACCTGCTGCTGTGAATAGGAACAACGGAGGATACAAATTGTAACAGTGTAACGATAAACAGAGCAGACCAACAGCTCCTCAGGATGAACCGGTTAAAAACGATAAAATCAGCAGCCATGAACTTGTGACTGATAATGAATATCTCACACTGTGACTGCATGCAGGCAGGTGTGAGCTCAAAGTGAGGCTCCATGAAACAAATAATCATTCTGCCAGAACCCTGAGAACAGGATGGGTCATGGAGAAAGTAGAAACATCACGTAGATAAAAACGAATAATTAAACATGGCGATGACCAGGCAGCCGCCATACAAATATCCTCCACTGTCATCCCTCCATGCAGAGCCATGAAGGATGAAAACCCTCTGGTGGAATGTGCTGAGATTCTCTGCAGGATCCAGTTCAGATGAACTGTAAGCTTCAGAAATAGCCTCACACAACCAGTGTGAGAGGCGCTGGGTGGATAGAGGACGTCCTGAAGAGCTGTCCCTGTAATGCACGAATATATGCTGAAAGCGGCATAGTGTGGCCGTGTGCGCCACGTAACATGAAAAATGTGCACATGGGAAAGAAGGAGGTGAGATGTTACTTCCTCCTCAGAATTATGAGGAAGAGGATAAAACCCATCCAAGGTTATCACTCTTGATCTGAATGAGCTCGTGATGTTTTTCAGAGCAGGGTTAAAACGCAATACAGCTGAACTGCCGTTGAATTCTAAGACATGAGGGAGCAACAGAGAGAGCAAACAAACACTCACTCTCTTTGCTGACGTCGGAACTAACAGCAGGGCTGTTTTCTTTGATCAGAGCGTGCAGGACCATCATTAGGTCTCGCTGTGAAGCTAGTGGACCTGACACCGATCTGTCCTCCGTACACCTTTCAGGAAACGCTTCATCAACTGGTGATTAAGAACTGTTCTGTCACCGAAGCCCTCGTGACAGGAAGAAATAGCTGCAGCATAAGTTTTAATTGTGCTGAACGCTAGATCTCTGTCCATCAGCTGCTACAGAAAGGACAACATGCCACCTAGTGGCCATGAGACGGCCTCCACGCCTTTCTCTGCACACCAGCGCTGAAAAACTGTCCACTTGATGTTTACAGCGTTGTGGTGGAAGCAGCTCATGCGCCCTGAACGTACGCACCACATCTTGTGGAAGGCCCATCTTTTCTAAACAGATCTGTTCAGCGGACAGACCCAAAGACGCTGACCTATTTCTGGGTAACTCCTGATCGCTCTTCCTGCCTGGAGGAGAGCGCGCACCCCCCACAGCAGTTTCCACAGCTGACCCGATATCAGTCGCTGCAGATTCGGGAACCAGGAGCTACGAGGATGACTGACGGTTCTTCCTCCCGGACCCGGTCCAGGGTCCGTGTTATCGGCAAGACTGGAGGGAACGCATAAAGGAGCATTTTTGGCCACAAGCTGTAAGCGAAGGCGTCCACTCCTAACGGTGGGTCGTCTCGTGGGCTCATTGAGAACCATCATTGACACTGGGCGTTCTCCCGTGTGGCGGACAGATCACTGCTACTCAGCCAAACTTGCTCCAAAAACCGAGAAATCAGCTCGGGATGGAGGCTTCATTCTCTGTGGCGGGGACCATCCCTCGACATGATATCCGCTCGCTTGTTCAGGATGCTGGGAATGTACAAACCGGATTCCAAAAAAGTTGGGAAACTAAACAAATTGTGAATAAAAACTGAATGCAATGATGTGGAGATGGCAAATGTCAATATTTTATTTGTAATATAACATAGATGACAGATCAAAAGCTTAATCTGAGTAAATGCAACATTTTAAAGGAAAAATATGTTGATTCAAAATTTCACAGTGTCAACAAATCCCCAAAAAGTTGGGACAAGTAGCAATAAGTGGCTGGCAAAGGACATTGAGCGTATAACGAACAGCTGGAAGACCAATTGACACTAATTAGGTCAATTGACAACATGATTGGGTATAAAAAGAGCTTCTCAGAGTGTCATTGTCTCTCAGAAGCCAAGATGTAAGAGGATCACCAATTCTAACATTGTTGCACAGAAAGATAGTGCAGCAATACCAGAATGGTGTTACCCAGTGTAAAATAGCAAAGACTTTTAAGTTATCATCATCAACCGTGCATAACATCATCAAAAGATTCAGAGAATCTGGAACAATCACTGTGCGTAAGGGTGAAGGCCGTAAAACTCTACTGGATGCTCGTGATCTCCGGGCCCTTAAACGTCACTGCACCTCAAACAGGAATTCCACTGTCAAGGAAATAACAGAATGGGCTCAGGAATACTTCCAGAAAGCATCGTCAGTGAACACAATCCACCTGTCGTTTCCAGCTGAAACTCTACAGTGCAAAGAGGAAGCCATTTCTAAGCAAGCTCCACAAGCTCTGATGTTTGCACTAGGCCAGGGGTAATTTAAAATGGAGTGTGGCAAAATGGAAGACTGTTCTGTGGTCAGAT